GTGTGTGGTGAGTGGAAGGCTCCAAGGGGTGCATTCATACCAGTCCATATTTATACTAATAATGGCTTGCAGTTTACTGTAAACGTGGTAATATTCGTGGTGCTGTAATTTTTGCGGATGTTGCAGATTTCATTGATGCGAATGCATTGTAGTCTACATGTACAGTGTAGATTTATTCAGGAACAAAAAATCAAGGGAGCTAAGTCTGAGTGCAATTCCCCTCTGAAAGTGGAAAGCTTCTTGCTCTTCATATATGTATATACAAATATTTGGGTTAAATATATTAAAGTATTATGTAATAATCATTTCACCAAAATCAAAAATATACTGGAGCAAATTAAACATTGTTCTTAACTTCTAAATGTTCTTGTGAATACAAATTACACCTACTCTGTTTGCTTGATATTCTTTGGAATTTAATGGTCCAGTTGTCTGTCCACAGAGGCATGCAAACGAAACTTTTGGCACAGATATGAATTGTGTAAACACTACCAATGTGGTTTGGGTTCTGCATACTTTGTGGTGTGAAGGAATTTGAGATTTTTAACAGGTACATTTCTGTGCAGACTTTCCCTAAGGCATTACCATTGAATTTAAGAAAAAGTACTTTCAAAACATGAAATTAAGCAAATTCTGTTGCCAGTACATGTAGTCTTTCTACACTGTATACATCTTTGGTAACATGACAGTCGTTTCGGCTTAAATATAAGAAGGATTCAATCTCACGATTTTGTACAATATACTCTTTAAATACATACTGTATGTACGTACAGGTGGATGTATGCAAGACCTGTAACTAAGACTAGTACAGAGAGAGAGAGAAATAAATAGTCTGAGTGTGTTAATGAAACTCATTAGCATTCATTAGTATAGTCAAAGTTGGACTCTCATTGGTATCCGTCTCATAAATTAGTCTGCATGTTGTTTGCTGCTTGGATGCCATATAACAAACTCTACTTGTAAGGTCTGACCAAGGGAATGAAAACTGCAGGAATAATTTACTCTCTTCATTAACAAATTAACACTTACTGTACAATCTAAGTAAACAGGCCTCCAAAGTCCGAACAGCAAAAAACTGTGTATTAACAAATAAGGCTTGTCTAGATATAACGCAGCAAATGACCACCCCAAAAACAGCCCTGTTCTTTTTTAAACGTGTTAATAAGAGTATTCACTGAGCGCTGTGTTAATTGTTATAAGGTACAAAAATGTCAAAAATCCTCAGCATAATCTACATTGCCATGTTAAAAAATAATGTGTGATTAAATGGCCGCTGTGTGCAACAAAGGTCATATGCGCATTCACTGAGCTCTGTGTTATAAAATACAAAAGGTGAAGCCTATTACACTTCCGCAGTCCTGAAAGAAAATACTGCGGTTTTAGTTTTTATCACCTCATACTAGTCATATCCGAAAGAGGCCTTATTGTGGCTTATTAGTGGGTACAATTTATTCAATAATGATCCTGGGATTGGATCCTGATATCATGAATTTATTTATTTTCTATGATTTGCTTGAAAACTTGATATAATGGATAAATCTTGTCCTGTATCTGTATGCTGTAACCAGTTTGTGAGAACAGGTCACAGGACAATGTTGGCTGAAGTCGGACAGGAACACCCTTGAAAGATCAGGAATATATGATGAATTTGGCCACACAAATATTTAAAAAATGATTTTCTATTAAATTTGAGTCATGTACATGGGCATATATCCAAGCTGGTAAGCACAGCCATAGATTTGCATGTGTGGCTCAGTGAGTCAGTGTCATGGAGCACCGCCCCCCCCCCCCCCCCCTAAAAAAAGAAAAATAAGTACCAGTATATAGAAAAGATTGGGAAATATAATGAATTTTGGTGAGGTATAATTGTGAAACATGTTCACATTGTAAACGAAAGGATCTCATAAATAAAAATTCATTTACTATTTTGAGACACTTTCAAATATAAGCATTATTTTCCCATGTATAACTTTTTCCAAAATTCTTCACTTAAAAGGTATCCTCACATTATTTCCATTGTCTGTAAAACTCTTGTGTTGTCTTCTATTCTGAATTTTGTGTGTGTGTGTGTGGGTGTGTGTGTGTGTGTGTGAGGGGGGGGGGTAACGCTGGGGTAGTCCCAGCTTGGCAAGATGAAAGTCAACAAATTATGTTTCTCCTCACCCTGCCAGCTGGCATGGCAGAAAGAGGATGCTGGCGAACGGAGAAACGGGATGTCTAAAAATGAAAGCGAGCGTTATCGGGGAGCACCAGCGAGGGCTTCGTCATTGGATGGTGTTGTGGTTTAGAGATTTTGCTCCGAGGGGGTTTCCATTATTGTCGTTTGGCTCGGGTCGGTCGGTCGACCAGGCTCTGCCCCGACCTTCTGTCTTTCGTGTTTCCTCCTGCTGTAGCTCCGAGGGCAACTTGAGTTAATAATAAGAAGAGAAGATGTGAGGATACATTGGTACATGGCATTGACATGTAGGCTACGTGTTGTGACTCTTCTCACCCTCTTCTCCTCTTTTTCTCTTCCTCTCCTCTCTCTGCTTTTTCTTCTTTCTCCACTTTCTTAATATTTTGTTATGACATTGACATGTAGGCTACGTGTTGTGACTCTTCTCTCTTCTCTTCTTTTCACCCTCTCTTTCTCTCTCTCTCTCTATATATATATATATATATATATTGCTCTCTTGCTTTTCTCCCTTCTCTACTTTCTTAATGTTGTTTACTTTCTCTTTTTCTCCCCTCCTTTCGCTGTCTCTCTCTCTCCGCCTCCCCCTCTCTCTCTCTTTCCCTCCCCCTCGCTGCTCCCCCTGTCTCTCTCTCCCTCTCTCTCTCTCTCTCCTCTCTCCCTCTCCTCTCTCTCTCTCTCTCTCCCTCTCTCCCTTTGTTCACTACATTCCAATACCTCTCTATTTGATCCTGAAGGTTTGTCCGTCAAATATTGTAAATGTGAATATTTCAGTGATCATAATGAGCTCAAGCAACTGCTAAATGATCCTCATGCATCTCTCCTCCCCCCCCCCCCCCCCCACTGTTATGATACAACAAAATTCCTGCATCAAAACATATCACTATTTACAAACATGTATTACCTTGCATCAGAGGTGATCAAACTTTCCTAATGCATAAAATGTCATCAAAACTGAGCTGATTCAGACTCAGACACTTTATTTTGAATCTATTATGGTAAACAGTACTGTCACTTTTAGTCTGACAGCTTTTCAAGTCCTAATTTGGGTTTGCGAAACTGAAAGATGAAACTCCACTCCAGCGGTATAATCTCATTCTGTCCTACATCTATGTCGTATAGTGACAAAGCAGTAATATGAATACTTTCTGCTTTTTTCCTCTTTATTTTGATGAATGGAGTTTGTGGAGCAGGCTCCATTGTCGTCTCTGAATCAAGCTATTGGCTTTATCATTAAAGTACCGAATCCTCTTGCGTGACCTTATGACCTCCATAGAGTTCAAGTCGATGTCACATGCATGTTTAGAAACCCACCTCTTTTGATTCTCGATCACAAGCTACTATAAATATTATGGTGACTAGGGGAGAAGAGACTGGGAAAATGGGAGAATCAAGCCGACCCTGGTGGTGTTCTTGTATTCAAAGTTCAAACTTGTGATCGTTAGCGGAGTCGAAAATGACTCCCTATTTTTACTAAAAAAGGAGTTCAATTTCCACAGAATATGACCCCATTTTTTAATTTTTTATTTAAATGGTACAAAATTGGCTCTAAATTTGAATCCATGTACAACCAGGGAATCACCCCCCCCCCCCCCCCCCCCCAAAAAAAAAGAAGCTACCTTGAACTCCCAACTTGTGTGGAATTCCCCAGATTTCCACCTTTTTTTTTTTTGGAGCTTTTTTTTTGGAGCCACTAGTTATTCATGTTTTTTCATCCATGAATAAAGTCATGCTGAGTTTGTTTTGTTGGAATGTCATCAATATCATGACATCAGTCAGTAGACTACATGAAGGTCATGAATGGCACTTGTAGATTTGTACATTAAATTTGATTTAATACATTACGAAAAATGGCCTATTGTGGTATTCTGAATAGTGAATACAGTAGTGGGCCAGAAAAAAGGCAAAAGAAAATGTAATCATTGTAACCTTGAGTAAAATATAAAGCCACTACCAGTACTCCACTCTCCTCTCATTTCCTTCCTGCTCATTTCCCACTAAATTTCTCATTTTTTTGGTTTTGTTTTGTCTAACCGCTTTTGTTTAGTCATTATATGATAATGATGGGAGATATGGTTCTTGTTACCTTAGTCTAGATCCAATTCACAATATAGTATTTCCCCCTTCTTGTTTAATCCTTTCCCCAACTTCTTTCCTTAACTTCTTTCCTTCTTTTTGTTCCCCCTTCTCTCTTAAATAAAAGAGTGAATTTTCACTCTATTTTCACTTTCTTGGGAGTGATGTCCGTGATCACTTGTTTAGGAGTGAAAATCAATTGATTTTAGAGTGCTCTCTAAGAAGAAAAGAGTGAATGTTCACTCTATTTTCACTACATTTTCACTCTCCAGAATAGTGACGTCCGTGATCACTCAATTTTTTTTAGAGAGTTCATTGAATTTCATTTCTTCAACTCTCGGCATTAGACAGGTATTTGGTCTGTCCGTCTATGTTTTGGAAAGTCACAAATGTAAAAGCACAACTGTAGAACAAGATTTATCAATGAATCACAGATCTAAAGCCAAGGCCTGTCAGCAAGGCCACCATTTTATAGGGAAGGATGTGGATAGATGTGATATTGAACGTTTCATTTGTGGTTTGTAATAGATTTTGACGATGATGTTATTATTGATATTTGATAACGGTTGTGTTCTGCACAGATTTGACCTTCTTCTTGGTTATTTTTGATGAATTAATTATCAATTGGGCAAATGCTGCCCATGATTATTCTGTCAATCAGATCATAGAAGTACAGAAAATAATTTAATTTCTCCTTTAGATGTTTATAGTTTTCTCAACATTTCTTTCTCAATTTTATTCTTTGTTACAGAGCAAGAGGAAGTTCCCATATTGAGACAAGATGATGCTGTACCTGTAGATGTACATCAACAAGGTGGGTGTTTATATATCTCTTCTTTTCCCCCCTCCCCCCCCCCCCCCCCCCCCCCCCCCTCCCCCCCCCCCCCCCCCCCCGGGGTTTCTCTCTCTCTCTCTCTCTCTCTCTCTCCCCCCCTCTCTCTCTCTCTCCCCCCTCTCTCTCTCTCTCTCTCCCCCCCCCCCTCTCTCTCACTCTATCTATCCCTCTCTGTTATCACTCTTTCCCTTAAAGCCCGTCTGCACTAGTTTGGCCAGGGGGATTAAACCTCCCTGCATGGTCACTGACGGGTGGTTATCTAATCAAATCAGCTCTCAATTAACATAAAAAAAAGGGGATCATGAGGGACCACCAGGTACCGATTAGGCATTGTTTGGTATATAGAGGGCGCAAGTAGCTATAAGTAGTGCAGTGGGGCTTTAAGGCTCATCCTACACGATACAGCAATATGTAGCCTCTAATACTTTATGTCATAACAAAAGTTTTAAAAGTGGTGCGGTTTTGCCTTGTCATACCTGAATGAGTCTTTACTCTAGTTTAGGCTTTCCACTCCTCCTTTCCCTCTTTCATATCCCTCCATCTCCTCTCGCCTTCCCATGTCTCCCTTTCCTTAACCCCCGCCCCTCTGGCTCTTTCCCTTTCCCCATCTCACCCTTTTCTCTCTCTCTCCCCACTATGACTCTCCTTTCCATTCCCTTCTCCTCACTCCTCCACTCCTTTTCTTTCCCTTCCTCCATCTCGTCCTACCTCTAACTCTCTCCTCTAACTCCTCCCCCTTTCCTATTAATTATTGGAATGACCAGACATGAATTGTAGGCTACTGTACATGTAGCAAGGGCTGTTCTTTCCTTGTACATGGTATCTCTTTGGTTTCAGTAGGTCCGTGCTTTGTTTCAGGGATTCCAACAACTAACCAAATTTTACAGTTTTCCAGTCACCGTCTACCCTCTTAATGAGTAAATCCCTGTTGTATCCTCCCATGTCCTGACGTGATATTGATATAATCCTTACATATTGCATGCATTTGACCCCATGTGGCAATCCCATCTTTGAAGCTTGGAACATTTGTGGCATTTTGCGTCAAGGGTCGCGATGGTGTTGGTCTTGTGAAACAGAGTTAGGCCAGCTTGGAAATTGCAACCATCCGTGAGATAAAAATCGGTCTAAATCTAGACTTGAGGAGCGATGGAGGTTACACAGGGTCACGTAAAACCACATCCCCTTGTGATAAAGGGGTACCTTGATGCCCCTGCGTGTGGGATGTCTTGTAAAGAAAGGGTGATACCCAGTTTTCACAGGATATCTAGGAACAATTCAGGGCACACTATTTCAATGTATACTAAATGCGAAGAGCTCTGATAGCAGACTGAATGGTTCATAGAACGTTGCTTCTGGAGATCATTGCAGGGTGGTCCACAAACAAAAATTAAAACATTTAAACTTCAAATGAAAATGGACTGTCTGACGTGTTTGAAGCTCCCTCTAAAGGCTCTAAGGTTCTTACATGTTCTTGCTCGCTGGTGAAATCTGAGCCATATTTAGGAGAATTTTCAAACAAATTTTGACTATTTCTGAAATTATGTGGGTTAAGAATTAATGTTGACCTCTTTCTAATTTTCAAATTTTCAACCTGTTGCTGATTTTCAAACATGTAATTTCAAAATTAAACCTGTCACTGTTTCATGTTAAAATCCCTTGTGGACCATGGCACACTGTCTTTGAAGTATGTAGTACTTAAAATGCTATTGACATTTTACACCAGAACCATGACATAGAGATGCTCACATCCATACATGACATTTTCTTGGCAGGAACTATGAAAACAAAAGTTTGATTGCTGCATTTTTCTCAATTATTTATTACTTGGGTCTCTATCAAGACTTCTGACCCTTCTGAAACACCAAATAGAACCCATAATTTCTTTAATTCCCCTATTGCCACATAGGTTGCGTTTATCTAGGAAATTTTTGGCTAGAATCAGGTTTCTCAAACGTCTTTCAGGCAAATTTAGAAGTAGATAAACGCAAAGCCTTTTTCAAACGTCTTTAGATATGGGCATATCAAAAGACGCAAAAAGGTGCGTTTTGTATGTGACATACAGCCAGAATCACGTTTCTGAGAGGTCGATAAACGCAAAGCTGTTTTGAACGTCACATACAAATAGGACCACACAGGTGTTGTGTACAAGCATGTGTGTGAATTTGACCTCCGAGAAACTGTCTGCTTCCCGGGTCAAAACAGCTGGGCAGACACAAGGCCTTTATTTTGAATCGTGAAGAGTAGATAAACGCGACATCCCGCAAATCACGATCGTATAGTGGGGTATGATAGTGGGGTTCGATAGTGGGGTACGATATGTACATTTCTAGTGGCAAGCCTAGATAAACGCGCTCTAAGTCTGTTCAGTCTAAACATGCTGGAATGCCAATGATATGAAGGAAGATTTGGAGATGATTCTCAGAGTGACATTTCGCAGTGAAAGAACTTGTGAGTGAGAAATGGTACCCCTCAGTCATGAAATCACTATCTGACTACAAACTTGATTTATGATGGGAAAAAGCAATAACCTTGCAAGTTGAAGCAGAGACGGATAGGCAGAGATGGAGAGTGAGAGGGTGAGAGACTGACAGAGAGAGAGGGAGACATAGACAGAAAAAAAAACATGTGAGAGAGGGGTGGAGTAGAGAGACAGACAGACAAAGAGAGGGAGGGGGATGGAGGGAGAGAGAAGGTGATTAGGTGAAGAAAGAGAGAGATGGAGAGAGAGAGAGCGAGAGAGAGTGTAGAGTGAGAGACGAAGACAATACTCCTGTTTCACCAACCTTATCGGGTACCCATTTTACATGTATGCACCTGGGTGAAAAGTGGCAAATAGAGGGGAGGGGTGCAAGAGAAAGTGAGACGGGAAGGAGAAGAGGTGCATTAATTGTGCAAGAGATGAGTGAGAAAGATGAAAGAGAGACAAGAGTCTGAGAGAAGCAGAGGAAGCGAAAAGACAGACAGACGGACAGATAGGAGATAGAGATGGAGACAGTAGCATTGAGCGGTCTATGCATGCATAATAGGTGGAAGGATGTGGTGCCTAGTGGCTTGAGGAGCTTCTTCGAATGGGGGAAGACAAACAAATCAAGACAAGTTTTCTTTTTGTATTTAGCTTGATGCTATATTTTGAGAGATAGTAATCACTATCAGTCTAGGCATCGAGTCTGATTACCGCTTTCTTGATTTGATTTCATGATATCTCCGGTTCAGCAACTAGCTCTTTTTACTTCTCGATTCTTTCCAGTCCACTCCCTTTGTCACCCCCGCCTCCATCCCCTCTAACTCACTTCAGGGGGCTGTGATTATCATTAGATGCAACCTAATGCTTGAATCTCAAGTGCTTCTTACCATTTCTTCTATGGTGTTTATTCTCTACAGAGTACAAGTCACCCTAATTATCTGTTTTTCATTTGACTTTGGAACTGCTTGCCAGTTGCCTTTGGCTGCGTTTATGCTTAAATTTTGAAGGCAGAATGAGCAATCTGAAACGCTCATCGTAAACGCTCATCGTGATCGCAGTTCCACGATGTACTGTTCATGCTTACTTCTCTGGCCCCCCCCCCCCCCCAGGCAATTCTCCGTGTGTGGCCTTAATTGGTCTTCCAGCTGGATTCGCAAACCTTCACTGTGCATGCTACGTAGACCCACCAGAGGTCAGTGCGTTGACCCCATTTAAACGCGTTTACAAATTGTAAACGCGTCTTTTTGTGAGTTTACGATCGGTGTTCGTGATCGCCGTTTTTCGGTGATTCTACAAAAGTGAGCATGGACGCAACCGTGTTTTAAACTAAACGCGTAACAGATGCCTGATTCTGGCCAGAAAAAGTGAAGCATAAACACGCCCTTAGAAAAATATGTGGTAACCCCAGTGTCCTATCCAATACTTATCTCTCCCTTGTTTTTTTTTTCTTCATCGAAGTAGGAAAAAAAATCCCTTCTCTTTCACCACATTTTATTCCATTATCATCCCAATTTTACTCCATCTCCTTTGTATCATTTTTTTTTCTTGATCAAGATGTACATGTAGGCCTACACTATATGGCTAATTGAAATCATTGAGATTATTTTAGATATTAGTTACAACCCTTACAGTGATAAATACTTTTCAAAAATCATCAATACTATGTTGATTTCCTGTATATCTCAATTATCGTTAAAATGTCCATTACATATCCGGGTATAGTGTGTAAAGTTGTGTTGACTTAAGTTATCTCAAGATGGCATTTTGGTAAACAAAATGTTCCATACACATTTAACTGTCTTCAGTGTTTTTTTTAAATAATTCTCCTGGGATTCTCAAATTTTCCCCACCTCCTCTTAGGTGGGTACCCCTTCCCTTCCCTTCCCTTGCCCCCAGGATCCCCCGATCAGTTCCACCCTACCCCCCCCCCCCCCCCCCCCCATCAGCTCTATCCCCTTAACAGCACGATATGAATGTGAGTTTGATGGAGGCCTCACTCGTCGGTAGAGGAAATAATCAATGGTGACGTCTATATCGTTATCTCGTATCATTTCATTGTATTTCCTGTGTGAACTGATTGATTGAAGACTATTCTGAATGTACATTTAGAAAATACGTGGGGGAGAGGAATAAACTTAATATATTTAGATGAAATGTATTTGATTGTTGATTGATAATGTTATATTTCCTGGAAAACAAGTCTTGCTGTAGTTACACTGTAGATGAAAATATATATTTCTTATTTTGAAAAATTGTTATAGGGGAAAACTAACCTGGATTGCCAAATTGTTTTGAATTAGATCAGAGTTGTGTCAATAAAGGTATATGAGTTAAAGGTAAAGACCAGTATTGGAAACGCCCCAATTTCAAAAAATGAAATGGAAGCTCTCATTACCAATCATGTGAAAGAATATGTTTTGACTAATACATGATAATAAAAAATTTGCCGGGAAACCACCTACTAATTCATATATTTGGTAAATTTGTTTCTCTCATGGTCTGTGAGAGATATAGG